GGGGAGAAAGAAAGAGAAGGAGAGAGAAAGAAAGAGAGGGAGGGATGGAGAGAGAGAGAGAGAGAGAGAGAGAGAGAGAGAGAGAGGTGTTACATGAAGCTGAAGGGATGTAGCCTTATAAGGGATGGTGTTTGGATTGGATTCTAAGTGGGATGGAAAATCACTGGAAGATTTGGGCAGGGGAGTGGGTGATGGGATCTGGTTTATGATTTTAGAGTTGGCTCTGGCTATTATGTGCACCTGCATTGGGGGGCTAATGGCCACAGGAGGTAAGGGGGTGCTAACAATCATCCAGACAAGCAGCAAAGATGGCTGGAAGTGGAAGTAGAGGGAGGGGAGGTTGAGGAAAGGGGCTGGAGGTAAAATCACCAACCAGAACCTACCAATGGAGTAGCCCTGGGAGGTGAGAAAGGAAGAAAAATGAAAACCCATCCCCAGGTTCCTGCTCTATCAGGTTCTCTGCTGGTTACCAAGAGAGGAAAACTGGGGAGAAAGAGGTTCTATGTAGGGATCAGGAGTTCAGTTTTAGGGCTGGGGTGTAGCTCAGGGTTAGAGCACTTGGCTAGCATGTGTGAGTCCTTAGGTTCCATCCCCAGTACTTAAAAAAAAAAAAAGCAAAAAGCTTAGTTTTAGGGCAAAAAATTGGCAGGCTCAGTCTGGGTCATCTCAGCTGTCTTGATGATGAGGACCAGGAGTGAGAGAGGAGGCTGTGGCCTCCATGGCTTGAGGGGTCACTGCAGGGAAGTTTTCAGGCTTCCTGGAATAACAGCTCTTCCTAGTGTAACAGTAATGATCACAGAGCTCCTCAGTGCTAATAGAGTTCTACTTTTGTCTATGAACATCCTCCCCCAGGTAACTCAGGCATGCCTTGCCTGGTCTAAACTAATTCTAGTGGCACCATTCCTCCTGTCTGTGATCAGCTCATTGGTGGGCATATAACCTTGTAACTCTTAAAAAGAGGCAGCTAGCTGGACATCGTCATGTGTGCCTGTACACTCCCAGCTACTTAGGAGCCAGAGGCACAAGGACCATTTGAGCCCAGGAGCTCAAGACCAGCCTGGGCAACATAGTGGGACTCCATGGTGGGCGGGGGGGGGGGGGCAGAGTGGAGAAAGAGGCAGAGAGGGACAGAGAAAGAAACTTGTTGGTAGGCCCAGTGGGTGAAGTGAGGCATCTGGAGCTATTGCAGGCATCCTGTGCTCATGAAAGCAGTAGCTAACACATTGAGCATGACCAAATGAGAAAATAGGAAATAACCCAATTATTATTATTGTTACTTTGTGGTGCTGGGCATCAAATTCAGAGCCTTACCCATACTAAGCAAGTGCTCTACTACTGAGGTACACCCTCAACTCAGCACCTGATTCTTAATGGGATAATTGAGCTTCTGGATCATTCCTACATTAGCCCTTTTTGACACATGAGAAAGTAAATCTCTATTGCTTAAACTATTTTGAGTTGGTCTTCTTTGCTCTATCACTGATACAGCAACAATGCAGGTAGTAAATAGTCCTTGCCTGGTAAAAGATGACACAAGAATGTAAGGAAATTTGCCAATCTCTAGGAGCTACTACTGTGGCCTGAGTCCACTGACTTTTGCTCTTCTAAGAGTGGTGATCTGGCTTCAGTGAGTCATGATAATAACTAGGGACAACACCTGAGCAAGTCCACAGGACCACAAAAGTTAACAATCCTGGCAGTGGGGAGTTCAGTTCACAAAATATCAATTAACCATATCCCTGGGGCTGACATCCTGATGATAAATCAGACACAGTTCCTGCCCCTCAGGAACTTATAGTACTGCAGAAGAAACACTCACAGGCCAATGACGATGTATAGGTCTATAGGAGTTCCGTAGGCTGACTTGCAAGGTGGTCAGATAAAACTTCATGTAGGTGTTTTTTTTGTTTGTTTTTTGTTTTTGTGGTACCTGGGATTGAACTCGGGTCCTTGTGCTTGCGTAGCAGGTGGCGAAACCACTGAGCTAAATCCCCGACCCCCACGTAGGTGTTTTGAAGGATGGTAAGAGAGCAGTCAGGGAAGAAGGCATTTCTAGGCAGAATTAACAGTATGTACAAACTCAGGACAACACAGCTGTATTGGAGAAACTATACATCGCTTGACATACCTTGAACTGGCCTAGCCACTTTATAGGTTGTACGTCTCTGACTTCACTTGATGTCTTGGAGGCTTGGCATTCCATGTTGAAGAAAAATGGCTAGGGGAAGAAAATAGGAAGAAAAATACTAAAATGGTTGCAGAATTAGGTAACAGAATAGATTTGCAAAGCACAATGTTTGGCATATATTAGATGCACAAGCAATGCTCTTTATTTATTATTCACCCATTCATTACAGTCACATGGTTCTAATTCCCTATCGGCTTGGACCCAGGTGGCTTTCTTCCCTTTCTCACTCATTCCTTAGCCTAGTAGCGAGGCCCCTCATCTCCCACAGACTTTTCCTCAGGCAGGAAACCCGAGCCCACTGCCTGGCCCAAGACACTTCTAGGGCTGCGTGGTTTGTGTTATTTCTTCTCTTCTCTCTCTCTCTCTGTTTTTTCCCTAAATGCAACAAAATAAAACCAAACAAAAGCCCAACGCCTGGCGTGGCTTGTCAGGGAGTTATGCAAGTGTGTAAAAAAAATAAAATAAAATAAACACCGAGTTTTCAGCATTTGGGCTGTTTGATTAGGCACAAAGCAGAGCCAAGGGATGGTTAGACACAGGGAAGGCTCAGGGCAGAGTGGAGAGGGATTGGACCCTAGAGGGGTTGGAGGCCCCTGGACCAACTCGGAAATGGCTATTTGCCTCCTGCAAACTTGGCAAGGCTTGCATTTGGGATCCAAGGGCTCCACTTTCTCTGGCTATCAACTGTCGTGTTCCCTGGCCATTAGACACTCTGGAGGCCATTCCATCCATTCCCCAGTCATTGTAAAGGACCCTGTGCCCCTGGCTCAGCAGTCAGGCCCTCCTCTCCCCTCCAAGGAGATTCCACAGCCTGTCTTGATTACTCACCCCCCACCTCCACCCTACGCACAATCCATCGCCTCTTCTGCTCCAGTTTAACCGCCACTAACTACAGTTGTAGGTCATCTTCCTTCACCCACTCTGAAGTGAGGCAGGAGCACAGATGCTTGCCATCCCGCCGAGCAAGTCTCCCTCCTTCCTTTCCAAGCTTGACTTCAACATCATCTGGGTCATTGCAGGTGTCTGCAGCCCTTCAATACTCACCCCACAAACATTTATGGAGTTCCTACCACTAACCAGGCATTTGCACCCTTCATTTCACTGCACCCTTAAAACAGATGTGAAGCCGGAGGCCCAGAGAGGTTAAGTAACTCAGGCAGGGCCACACAGCTGGTAAGTGATGTAGCAGGGATTTGAGCATAGATTGTATTTGCTATCTCCTTCAAGCTTATGTGTCCTCCCCTGAGTGTCCAGGGTCTTATAACTTTGGTATTTCTTCTGAACTGGGAAGATGCCCTGAAAATTTGACCCAGAAGAGGAGGAGAGTGTAGTCAGGACCATAAAGCTCTATTGAGTCTACTGCTTGTGACTTTCTGGGTTCCCAATGGGGGAAGCACATTTGGCTAAGGTCCTGGGTCCTGTTCCGACCCCAAGATGCACTGAGTTGCTGCCGACTCTCTGGGTGCTTGGAATCCCCCGAGGGTCTGCGCCAAGGGTCCAGGGGACTTGTCCCGCTGCCAGCCTGGCGCTCAAGGCGCAGTGCACCAGCTCCGGGCAAGGGCGTGCAGGAGGGGGCTGCGGACTCCCGGGCCTGGCGCTCCAGTCCGTTTTTTCTTGTGGATCCCAGGAAGGGGGGCCGGCTGGGGGTGGGACCACGAAGGGGGGGGGATTCCCTCCCGCGTGCGAGCGAGGACTGGCCCCTCTCCGGGCTGGGCGCTCCGGGCGGCCGAGCGGAGGCGCGACGGAGACACGAACCCGGAGCGGCGAGCCGGAGTGGGACCACCGAGAGCCGCCCCCGAGGACCGATGCGCCGGGTGGGGCGCTGCCCCGGAGGGCGAGAGCGAGAGCCGCCCGCAGATTGAGCAACTTGGGAACGGGCGGGCGGAGCGCGGCGCCCAGGACGGTCCCGTCGCCGGCCTCGCCCTCGCCCTCCCGGGCCTGACCCGCGCGGCTGGCGGAGCGAGGTGAGTCCCCGCTCGGCACCCGGGTCCTGCGCCCCGGTGCTCCCTGCCCTGGGACCCGGGTGCCGCGGGCGCCCCCGTCGGGGTCTGGCGGAGCTGGGGTGGGGGGAGACAGAGAGACGCGGGGAATCGGACTGCGGTCCTCTCCTCGAGCTTAGGAAGCACCTCCTAGACCCCCTCCTCGAGTCCTGCGCCCAGGCACGGATCCAGCCGGCCGAACAGCCCTGCCTTTGCTGCCTCGGTCCCCCTTCATCCCCAGGTGGCCGGCCCTCTTAGACATCCCTTCATTGCACATGCTGTTCGTCTCTGGGCTCTCTGCCTTGGACCCCCGCCCCGGCCCAGGGTCTCTGGAGACCCCCTGTCCCAGTCCCGCAGCCCGGGTCCGGATCGGACGTGGCCCGCAGCGTGCCCAGCGGGGCGGCGCGGGTCCCGGGCCGGCGGATCGTCTCGGAGGAGCGAATGGTGCTGCTGGGTCCGGAGCGCTGGGGCATGTGTTACGCGGCGTCCCGAGAAGAGCACGGACGAAGTCCGGGTGCGGCCGCTGTTTCTGAGAAACTGGCCTTGGGGAGCTCTCTGGGACCTTGGTGGGGGACCTGGGGGCACTTCAGAGCCCTCTACCTTGGGCACCTGTCCTGGCGTCTCCGGGACGTGGGGAGGGAAGAGGAATGTGAGCGCTGGGGCGGTGAGGGAAGGGTGTGAGGGAGCTGCCCCAGGCTTAGGGGGCGTAGGACCAGCCGCAGCACCTAGCCGGCTCGGGCGGAGAGCTAATCCTGACGGGTCAGGCAGGCACCTACTTGGTCCCGCCCCCAGCCCCCCGATTCTTTTGGCCCCACAGGCAGCCTGTTCCCCGGCCACACCTCTCCAGCCGGTGGCCGGTCCTGGGGGAGCGCTAATGAGAAATTATCTGGATGGTTTACATTCTGGGGTCTGTATCCGGCCCAGGGTGGAGTACCAGTTTATCCTGATAGTGTTGAAGGCAAGAAGGTTACAGATACTCCAGCCCTCTGTTAGGACTGAGTCCACCCCTCAGCTCCGCCCCTAGCTGTGGCCCCCTCCCCAGTGCGTGACCTTCCCTCCCACGTTGCCTCGCTTTTTGATCTCTTGCCGGCTCTGCCTCTGACTCCATCTCCTTCTCCAGCTGTGAAGATCCCTTCTTCAAGCCCGGTGGTGATCCACACTCAGCTCGCTGCCTTGCCCACCCGCCTGGCCTATCACCACTGAGAACCTTAATTCTCTCAGGGCCACACTTCTGTTCTTTCCTCCAGCTGCGGTGCAGTAAAGGAGGGTCTAGCACAGGACAGGTGGTAGAGGCACCTTGGACCTGTGATCCACGGCAATGTTGAGCCATTGTTTCTGCCTGTCAGTAGTCAGCTGGAGTAAGTAGATGTGCTCGCTTTAGATGGAGCATTTGTCCTGCCACCTGCCTGTTCCAGCTCCAGTTGGCTCATATTTGTCACTTGTAACCCTGGCATGGATGTTCCTTTGCAAGGTTGTTTCTTTTTTTCCCCCAAAAAAGTGCTCGAAACTGTTATCCCAGAAGTGAGGGAAGCCAATGTTACTTGCTCTGGCAAAATTTGCATCTGGATCCTCCTCTCCATGTGCCAGCTGCAATTGTGGCTCCCTGGTCATTCAAGCGGAAGTGGGCCAGGCAGGGACAGGGACAGGGACTGGGTGACCAGGACAGGGTCCAGGCTGAAAGCTGGAACCTGGGGACGTGGGAGCTTGCGTTTTTTGAGTACTAACTCCTCGTGTCCCAGGGATCATGCTGGCAGGCACAAAGTACAGAGACCTTCTCTGCCCCAAGGACCCTAGAGAAACCCGTTACCTAGTGACACCAAAGTCTCACAGGCCCAGGTTTAATGCAAATTTATCTGATGCAGTGTTTGTAAAGACTGATGGAATGGATCTCCCAGGGGTCCACCACCTCATTCTGCCAATTGGGGGAGCCAATGCTGTGGTTAGAGGTAAATCCTGTCACTTTGAGTGATCACTTTCATGCCAAGGTAATCGACCACAAAGATAAATGCAAATATGGAAATTGCATGCCAGTGCTCAATATTAAGTTGGTATCCACACAATATGGGAAATAGGATATTGCTTTTTAAGTGGGCATAGGAATGTAGACAGAAAGTCTTGGTCATAAAAAACAATACCACAGGTATATTACTGAGACCTCATTATACTGTATATGAGCACCAGTCTGAACAGTTTCCCATAATACCTCTTTTAAGGTATAAAGAATCAACTCTCTTGCAGGTAAGAAAGCAGGCTCAGAATAGCTAAGCAATTAGCCCGGGGTAACACAGCTGGCAAGTAGCACAGCCAGCATTTGAAGTCAGGCAGTCTGATTCTGAAGATGTCCCTGTGACCACCACGCTATACACTCAGCCTCCAGACAATGTGCTTGTGGCTGAAGCCCCCAGTCTGGTAAACTGAGCAGAACATCCATAATCTGGGGATGACGGAAGAGTATAGCGGAGGCTAGGAGGATGGGAAGGCTTTGGCAGGTCATGCAAGGAGTACTGGAGGGGCATGCAGGGGTTGGCAGCTGACAGGGCATTTGGGGGTGGCTGGGGGCATCTCTGCTGGCTCCAGCCATAGCACCAGGTGGGACCCATCAGCCTCGTGTAAACACTTCTCAGAGGCAGCTTAACCACTTGAGTGTGTCCGGCCTTCAAAGCCAGTGGGAGAGGCCAGGAGGGAGGCACAGAACTCCCTAGGGGGATAATGATTTATCTCCTGTGCAGGTGGACTCCACCGGGGCCTCTTGGGGAGGTGAGGGGGTGAACTGGGCACTAGGGAGCTGAGAGGGGAGAGCAGTAGGGCGGGAGTGGAGGAGCACCTCTGGCTAGCACCTCAGACTTCTCATTAGGAAGCCAAAGCTCAGCCAGCACACCCAGCAGGCCTGAGAAATAGTCACGTTTATGCCCATTGGCTAGATGAAGAGACTGAGGTTCAGAGAGGCTGAATGACCTGTTCAAAGGCCACTAACTGGCAGACAGGCAAGCAATGCTTCCCGAGACCCACAATGAGTCCTGTGGGATAGGCCAGATGCTCCCAGTTTTCAAGTGCCCTGGGACAAGCCCAGGCAGGCCTCTGTCCTGGGGGTGGGTGGACTGAGAGCACCAGAGGGCAAGGGTGTGACACCAAGTTTGGAGCAGAGCTCCTGTCCTGGCTCCAGGTAGTGGTCTGAGGCCCAGCATCCAGCTTCCCAGACATAGCTCACCGGGGGCGGGGGGGCAGCCCCTGCCCCCATCACCCCAGCCACTGGATCCAGAGCCCTGGCTCTCTCCGGGGTAGGGATTATTGCCATTCTCTGTGTCTCTGGCCAGGGCGGGCGCTGCTGCCTCTTTTATCCCCTCACAAAGGCCAGCCCTGCCAGGCCTGCTGTGTCAGAGTTTCTGTGCCTGGAGGGGGGCAGGGACCTTACTTCCTTTTCTCCTGCCAAACCTAGAGGGCCATGCAGAGTCTACCAGCTTGGTGGGGGCCACTGCTTTAGCTCCAGGACAGGTGAAGAACACATAGGTGACTCAGCACTAGGAAAAGAAGGCTGGCAGGTCAAGTAGCCAAGAAGGGCTCCTCTTCAAATGACAGGATATTACTGCAGCATGAGGTTTGTAGGGTAGACTTAAAGAAGGACTTCCAGTGAGAGCTGGCCACTATCAGTCAGGGGTGGGGCCAGCTGGCTCCCATTATTGATAAATCACCAGTGATCCACAAGTCTGGTTTGAGTGTTCACCATATTCCACCTATTTGAGTAGCTGGCTCTAGTATCAGGGTAAGGAATTCTGTGAGTGAGGAACAGGAACTGATTTCTTCTGCAGGGATACCAGGTGGGTTACTTGTAGTGTCTGGATGTTCTGGCCTCGAACAGTCTCCTGAGTAGAGAAACCTAGGGGAAGATCAGAAGCATAGGTTGGGGGCCCCAGGTTACCACAGAATTAACCCTTCTCTCTCTTCCCTCAGGTTGGTTTTTGGGGTAGCCCGTTGCAGCAACCAAGACTTCCCATGTGACACTCGGAGAAGGCTTTGAGGAACTCTGCCTTTGAGGCCCTCGGTCTGGGCTGATGGAGCCCTGTGCTCCCCACGCTCTCTCTGTCCACAGTTGAGATTTGGGTGGATTTGGGCTGCGGCTCGGGCTTGAATCTCCTGCTGCTGACCCAGCCCCACAGGCGTTAGCAAGAGCCCTGCGCCATCCACTGCCCCCCAAGAAACCACCCCTCCCGCCAGGGGCCTGGAGCTGGAGAGTGACTATGCGGCTTGGGCTGTGTGTGGTGGCCCTGGTTCTGAGCTGGACACACCTCACCGCCAGCAGCCGAGGGGTCAAGGGGAAGAGGCAGAGGCGGAGTGAGTACTGGAGTGGCCTGGACCACCGCTGGCCTTGGCAGTGGGAGAGGGCCACCCGGGAGGCCTTGGGTAGTGTTATTCCATGATGACCACTGCAGATTTCTGCTTTGTCTAATACAGCCTCTGTAGGTTTTACAGCAGACTATTCTGACTGTGGAGTATTCAGTTGGTGGACCGATTTGTCGAGATTATCTTCTCTGTAGGTTACTCATTTTGTCTGTTTTCCCCCTTGTGGACTGCTTTCTGGATTAATCCCAGTTTGTGGATTATGCCCTTTGACACATCATCAGCTTTGTGTGGCATCCATGGAAATGCTTTGGGCAGGGGTCCCTACCCTCGCATGGCTGGTTCCCTCCTTGCTGGCTCCAGGGTTCAGGGTTCCTTTGCTGGCTAAAGTGTGGTCCCTCTGGGCCTGGAGCTCTGCACCTGTGGGTGGTGGGCAACAGGACTTCCCCTGCCCAGATCATGGGCAGGAACAGTGGAGCAGGGAGGGTACAAGACTCTGCTATCTTGTGACTTTTGTGATGGGGAGGCAGGAAGGCTGGGGTCTGGTCCTACCACCTGCAAACCTGGGTAGCTTTGTTTTCCCTGCTTTCGGTAGTGAGCTTCCACAGGAGGTACTGTTGGGACAAAGAGATCTCAGCTTCAAAAGAAAAGCAGATTCCATCATTGTAGACATGAAGAAGAAATGATCCTAAGGACACACAGTCAGAGTTGTAACCCAGGTCTCCTAATGCCTGTGAACCCCATTTTCTTAAAAACAGAGCTTAATAGGGACCAGGGATGTAGTTCAGTGGTGCCACACCTGCCTGGGAAACAAAAGGTCCTGAGTTCAATCCCTGGTACTGGAAAACAAACAAACAACAGAGCTTGATGTAGTCCAAGATTAACCTGTTACACCCCCTCCCCCATACACACAGTAGGCATTCTTTACCTTTTGCTTAATATCACCGATGATGGGGCCTATTTGTCATGGGAGTAGCCACTGTGTGACAGTGACCCCTATTAGGGTTGGAGAGTGCCCTCTGGACTCCCAAAAAGTCCTTTCAACATTCCCCTTTTGAGACATTCCCATAATGGGAGCTGTCACATCCACAAGTGGCAAGTCCCCCAAGAAGTCTCACTGAGCTCCCTCCTGCTTTACTTTCCCTTTAGACTGATGCCCCCTGGGAAGGTTGAAAGGCATTGCATGGCCATGGCCAAAACTCAGCCCAGGGAGAGGAGTTTGGAGAATTGGTGAACCTGAAAATCTCAGGCTTAACAATTAGAGGTGGTTAGGTTTAATCAGCAGCAAGGCCTTGATTTTCCTCCCTTCACCTCTGTGTGGCCAGTATTTTGGTCAGATGTTGTTTAGTGGTTTATAAGCAATCTCCTCTATTTCTGAAATGAGAGCAAGAGAGTGAATGAGAGAGAAACCAGCCACACTCGCATGACGTGCACAGGTGATTTACATGTGTAGGGCCACACATCCACCTAAACCAGGGACCATAAGACCTGGGTTAAAGTCTGTTGAACTGAAAAAAAAAAAAGTTCTAAACTGGTATCTGTAAGGGCCTACTTTCAGCAGTAGCCAATCTAATGGAGCAATCTTGATTGCTCACTCCTGACACTGCTACATCCAGGTAGCCTCAGCAGCACATAAACTGTTGTCATTACCAAGTGGTAGGAGTAACCACCCTTGATGGTGACAATCAAGGACAGGGGGAGAGGTGGAGACAGACTTGGGCACAGTGAGAGTCCAGAACGGACCGAGGCTCAGGGAGGCAAGACTGTGTCTGCTGGCAGGCAATCTTTGTTACTTGCTAATCATAAAACCACAGTCATCAAGCTGAAATGTAATTTTACAGGACTACAGTAAGACTCACATGAGATAATAGATCTACATTTGTTTGTTTGTCTGAAGTGCTGGGGATCAAACCATCACACATATGAAGCAAGCACTCTTTGCCCCTAAGCTACATCCCCAGTGCTAGATATGCATTTTTTTTTCCGGTACTGGGGATGGAACTCAGGACCTTGAGCTTGCCAGGCAGGCACGGCGCCACTGAGCTAAACCTCCAGCCCTAGATATGCATTTTTAACAACCTGTGTAAAGCATCAAGCTATGTGCAGATTTCAGGAGGCAAGCTGTGGTTAAATAGCCACTGTGTGGACAGTTTCACCCTAAGGTTTTAGGGAAAGCAGGGAAGGGAGGAGTCTGAGACACGGTGCGCGACTGCTATGTCCTCTCATGGTGTGGAGGGGCACTGGGCAGATTGGGGGGTCAGAGCCGGGCTTGCTGTGTGACATCCATCAACTGCATGTCTGGAGGGCCCAGAAGCCATGACTCTGACCCTCAACTTTACGCCTGTTTTGGACTCAGAAATGTCTGAGCCATGGACTCCCCAAGGGAAAGAGAGAAAGCTGAGCAAAAAACTTCACTCTGGGTATGAACTATGAAGCCCCTAGCAAGGCTGCTGCCCCTTTTCATCCACTCACAGGGGACCCCACCCTGAACTCATCTTCCCATACTGAGCTTCTTCACTGCTTCCAAACCCTCATCCTGAGCCTTATTCTCTCCCTATTCCTAGCACTGAGTGTTCCCTTACTGAGCCCCTTCTTTCAGTCCTGCCCCCTCACACAGTCCCCAGTTCCTTCCTTGAGACCCAACTCCTCCAGACGCCAGGATCACCCCTTTGCCCCTCTGACTGCCCCTCCCCGACCCGGAGCTGGCACCTCTCCTGCACTGACCACCCTTGCAGTCCCTCTCCTCCCCATTGCTTGGGTCACTCAGCAAACGTCCACTGAGAGCCAGCAGGGCCAGGTCCTGGATTGCAGAGGCAAATCTTGAGGGTCTCTCTGGTGGTGGGAGAGATCACTCAGTCCAGTGTCATGACTGCTGCCACAAGAACAAACTCAGGGGCTGGGAGAGCCCAAAGGAGCTGGGGACAGGGATAGCTGGGGAATGACCCATAAGTGGAGTTCCAGGGAGCCCCAGGGTTTACCTGGACCAGCTCTGCTCCTATCTGGCTTTCACAGTGGGGATCTTTTGCATTGGCAAGAAGCATTCTGCCACAAAAGCTGGAAGTCAGCACCCATCAGGATGGAATGAGTCAGGCCTGCTGGGGCTAAGCCAGGAGGCCTGGGGACAGGATCTGCAGACCTGGACAGAGGTCAGATGCTGACAGCCTTGGTACTTACCAGGATGAGGAGCCTGGGCCTGTCCTGACTTCCGTTGTGGATGATGAGGAGCCACTCGCAGAGATTTCAATCTGAGGGCACACAGTCCAGCTGCAGTCAAGGGTCAGGGAATAGCTAGGGCACAGACAGGCAGGCTGGGCCCTGGTGAGAAAAAGTGAGGGTCTAAGTTGAGTTAAAGAATACTGGGTCTGGGCCAGGGATTTAGCTCAGTGGTTTCGCCACCTGCTGTGCAAGCGCAAGGACCTGAGTTTGATCCCCGGTACCAAAAAAAAAAAAAAAAAATACTGGGTCTTCTTAAGAGGGGCATGCGCAGGGCTTGCTGAATATGCAGCAGATGGTCCTGGCTGCCAGGAAGCCCCAGGAATAGACACATCTCCTGAGAAGGGGCTTTGCTTACCCTTCCTCCATCTGGCCCCTGTCTTCCCTCCCACCAACTTAACTCAGGTCTCTGGTAGTGAGTTTAGTTCCTCCAAGGCTAGATTCCACCCCACAACCAGGGCCATCATGCCCTGGGTCATGGACAGTCCCACCCCAGACTTCAGTGAGTACAGAGATCTGTGCATGTGCTATCCCATCCTTGAGCCTCTGTTGTGCCCACCACACCCTCAGTCCTACAACAGGGGTCCTCCCCTTTGGGGGCTTCTTACCCTCCTCTGGGCTCCCAGGCAGAAATAAGACAGGTTCTGCCCTCCAAAGCTCTTTCTAGTGGGAGAAGAAGACGTATTAACAGATACTAACAATATACAATGATGTCTCCCATAATAGATTTCAGTACCATGGACATGGGAATTTGAGACCATCCAGAGTTTCAGGGCAAGGGGTGAGATCAGGAAAGTCTGCCTGGAGGAGGTGACTTTAGTTCTGAGGCTTAAAGGAGGTAGTCAGGCTCAAGCAGAGGCAGGGTGTTCCAGGCAGAAGGACCAACATGAGTAAAGGCACAGAGGTATGGAATAGTGTAATGTGTCCAGAGAAACAAAAATGGATACTGCTTAGAAGTTAAGCTGAGAGATGAGGTGGGTGGGATTGGCTCTTGAATGCTTTTTAAGCCTGGCAAGGAGCTGAATCTTAATTCTGCAGGTGATGGGCAGCCATGGATGGATTTGAGGCAGGGCTGTGACACCAGCAGATTTCTGGTTTAAGAGATCCCTGGAGATGAGTCAGCTGGGAACTAGAAGAAATGAAGACCATTGGGAGGAGGAACTGTGAGCCAGATTCCATTCTTCAGGGAGGGGCTGATTGAGCCTTGCAGCTGGGCAAGTCCTCATCATGGCCACAGCAACTTGAAAGGGTTTTGCAGCTTAAAAGATTGTTGGAGGCTGGAGGCAGGAGGGACACCAGGAAGGCACAGCCCTGCCTCATTCCCTCAGGAAGAGGGGCAAGGAGCAGCTGGAGCACAGTAAGTGAGTGGGTGAGCAGGGAGGGCCGAGCTGTGCGAAAGAGTGTATGTGTGAAGAGGTTGGACAGGAGGCCCTTTCCCCTCTCTGAGCCCCTCCCCCTCATGTGACTCCTCTGGCCCTGCAAGGCCACCTCCCTGCAAGGCCCTGCAGTGCACAACTCCATCCTAAAAAAGCAGCAGAAGGGATCTTGCTAAACTGCTAGTCTGACCCTCCCTCCATGGTCCTTTTCCTCACCAACACCATAAGGCCCTATTTTCTGTTCCATGAAGACTCCAGGATGTTCAGTGCCTCAAGCCTTTGCACAGGCTGCTCCTCCTGTGGCTGACCTACTTCTACCTGCTGGCACAGAAGTGCCCTGAACCCCTCTCTCCCTCTGTGCATCCATTGCCACTGTATGTGACCAGCCCTGCTTCCCTAGCCCTG